GAACGTGGAAGCTCAGGATCTGAACAAGCCTGAGGCATCTCAATTGGAGTTGCCAAGAAAGCGATCAGGGACTGGACTGATAGAAACCATAAAAAATACTGGGAATCCACAATTGGACTCAGACAGGCAAAAGGTTTTAAAGCAGGACCCTCTGCCAGAAGAACGAAGGATCTGTTGAGATTAAACAGAGATCAGTTAAGATGGGTGGCAGGATTACTTAACCAGACACTGCCACCTGAAAGGACACCTTTTCAAGTTGTGACTGACAGATACCCCGACTTGTAAAACGTGCCTACAAGAAAACGAATCAGCCACACACATCCTCTGTGATTGTGAGGCCATAGCTTATTTAAGATTTCGTCATTTGAGTCAGTTTTTTGTGGAACCAGGTGACTTCTATGACGCCCCCATAAGCAGGGTCCTACACTTTATTAAAAGTCTAGGATTAATAAAGGACTAATCCAAGGGGAAGCACAATAGATCATTGAAGGTCGCAGGCCGGTTTTATGACCCACCCCTTACATACATACGTGTACATACAACATGGAAGCGGCGCGCTGTTCAGAAATTTTGGTGAACTGCTGGAATACATGGCGTCTCATTGCAGATAGTTGTGCTCTAAATTTATAATTTGTAGCAGTGCTGTGGGTGAGTAGAGGTTGCATGTCATGTCGTGGGAAGTGTAAATACCTGTTTACCTTGGACCCCAAACTTTGCGCCCTGTTTTCCCTGAATGATATCGTCGCATATGGTAGAAGTGTTTTTAACTGGGCCAGTGAGCGCACTCCACAAAAATTTTGTTTGCTACCAGACAGTTCGGTTAATTTCGGCCTCACGAGGAATCACGCACCCCGAACGTCGTCCGCCCCGCTACTCACGGAAAATAATTCTTCACAGATACCCGAAACTTTCTCAATCACTTCAGAACAGAGAGTAAAATGAGCGTCGAGGTTCTTCAGTTCACACCGTTCGAGTAGTCTCAACATCTGCTCCAAACTTACAAGCTCTCTGGTTGCATTCTAAGCCTCTTTACCCGTGTTCATTGATTCTGTCAGTTCCGCCATGTTAATGGTGCATCACTAACTTTAAAATATGGGCCGCGCCATAGCTCAAGCGGTTAGTCGCTGGCTTCCCACCGCGGCGGCCCGGGTTCGATCCCGGGTCTGGGCAAGTGGGATTTGTGGTGAACAAAGTGGCGCTGGGGCAGGTTTTCTCCGAGTACTTCGGTTTCCCCTGCCAATCTTCATTCCACAAATTGCTCCACAATCACCCTCACCTATCATCTGGGGCTGGTACAATAGGCCAGAAGTGGCCGCAGTACAAGGGACTTAGTCCCACCCCACTAGCAATAAAAAAAACTATTTGAAGCGGTGTTTTCTGTGCTGTCCGCTGATATAGTAATGTCATTCAACCATAGAACGGCTGGAAGCGGTGCTTTCTGAGCGGTCCATGCCAAGGCTACGTAAGGAGTCGTTTGTGAGTTGTGAGTTGTGAGTTCATAAGAGGCAAATAACTCCTCCCGTCAGAGAGGATGTTACATAAGGACTATAAACCTAAGGGTTCAGCTGAAAAATCTCAGGTCGTAATCCTCAAGGGACTTGGCGCCAAGACGAATTGATTGGCTGTAAACCGCCAGTCGTAGCCGGTCACGGTAGCCGAGCGGTCTAAGGCATGCACTGTCTTTGCTCGCTCGGAAGTCGGGGTCGTGGGTTCGAATCCCGCTTAGGGCATGGATGTTTGTGTGCGTTTTTCTGTGTTTGTCTGCAGGTAGAGGCCTTGCGACGAGCTGATCACACGCCCAAGGAGTCCTACCGTCTGTGTAAGATCTAGAAAAACCGAAGTGAACGGAAGTTCATGGAGGTCGGCCTAGGCCCACTGGGGCTGTAGTGCCAAGGAAAAAAAATCTCCAGTCGTAAAGTAACACTGACTGTCACTCTGTGAGTACGGCAGTTGGAAGGCAGCCCAGAATTGACAGCTGAAATTGGAGTCTGGCAGTTGGATGTCAGTCCAACCCTGATGGTAGCAGCTGAAGGAAGTACCGGCTGAGGCCAGCGGGTCAGAGTATGAGGTTGGCTTGAGATGATCGCCAGCATTGCAAGAACGTCAGGCCAGAAACAAAGGAACGTCCACAGTCACAAGCTTTTACCGAACAACGTGACCGAGCACACTAGCCTTTGTTTGATATTGATCTGTGGAATATAGTCACGCGCTATATTCAAGAGTGCAATAAATCCAGTTATCAATCCATAACTCCACCACGCGAGAATATTAAAATTTTTATACCCACACGAAACTACGTTTGGCCATAGCATAACAAAACGATTGAGATCAAGTGAAAACAAGAAGTCAGTCAGTTTGGTGTGTTAATCTCACTGTATGTTTCGGTCTCCTTTGCCCGTCATCAGCTGTGTATGAATACTAACAGTAAATATACTACGTTTATGCTGAATTATATTATAGCATGTAGAGAGCCGTTACTAGGTTACGGCACAGTAAAAACTTATCAGCGTTAACATTGATCACGCACGCAACAATAGGAGAGCTGCGGGAAGCGGTGTTGCCACGCGGTCCGGCACCAGGCGAACAGTGCTGCTGCAATGGAACTCATGATACCACTCCACCCATATTAACAGGATAACGGTGTTTTCTGTTGGGTCCGCTCCGAGACTATATCACTCGACCGACAAAGTTGGGCTGTCGTAGCATGGGATAAGTAAGCTAGACATGATCTGCTTTGCATAGCCTGTACTGACAGAGGAGTTGTAAATAATGCACAAGGAAGAATTTTCAGTAACCTGCTATATGTGTGAAACGGACGCTTGACAAAGGTGAAGCGAAGCGTATTCATGTGAGACACACCCAACCTGCCAATAGAGATTATGTTACATGAGAACTATGGCCGCAAGGTTTCGTTTGGAAAAGAAGGACCTAGTCTTGTGCCACAAGGGGTTTGACGCAAAGTCGAACTGATTGGCGGTAAACCGCCAGTCGTAAAGTAACTTTGACTTTACCTTTGAGTTCAGTTAGTGGAGTGGAGTCGAGCTGGAAGCCAACTAGGGAGCTGCAGTGAGACAGGCGACAGCCAACGAGGCCGTGAAGCCGTGAACACGGAAGTTGAGGCATCTACGGCATAGGGAGCCTTGTCCAGACAAGGACTAGTGAAGACACAGCAGACTGAAAAGAATTATTGAGTGCTTTAGTGATCTGCAGAGTGTGTGACTTAGCGATAGCGCTATAATTGCATGTAATTACGGTCTGTAAGTGTTCAATAAATCTGATTACCAACCCAGACCCCATCTAGAGTGACTCGACATCGCGACGGTATCAAGAAAATGGGTTTAATTTTCAGCGTCATAAATTAAGGGTTGTGTACATGAAGCACACTACTACCATAATGGCTACTAATTATCATATATCTACATTTTATTATAGTTATATTTTATAATATTTTAATAATTCTGTGCATGTTGCAAATATATTTTCATATGAAGAATAAGAAAATGGAAGGCTAATTGGATTGGTCATATCTTACGCGGTAACTGCCTTCTAAAAGAAGTTACTGAAGGAAAGATAGAGGGGCGGATAGAAGTGACCAGAAGACGAGGAAGAAGACGTAAGAAGATGCTGGATGACCTTGGGGACAGAAGAGGATATTTTCATTTGAAGTAGAAAGCTCTAGATCGCATCAAGTGGAGGAACTGTTTTGGAAGAGACTGTGGACCTGTCGTCTGACAGATTCCTGATGAATGATGAATGCCGTCTTCTGGAATGTGGCGCCGTGTAGGTTTTACATAATCAGACGTTCCTCCGAAAAGTCGGTTTATACAAGATATATGCTATGCCACATCCGAGAAGATGGCATTCTTCATAGTCACCACCGTGAAAATCCCAAATCTTACATATTTTTGTATATTCACCCCAAAACACATACACTTTATAATGGATCCATTTTTGTCATATAATTCAGCATAAACACAGTATATTCAATGTTTTTATTCATACGCGCCTGATGATAGCTAAAAGAGGCCGTAACTTGAGTGGGATTAATATAATAAACTGACTTTACTTATTCTTTCCCCCGGATGTCAATCATTTTATTACACAATAATCAAACGTTTTTGTGCGATTGTATAAAAACGTTATCTTAAAACAGGACCCTCTGACTGCTCCATTCCCTATATTTTCCTGAGAGCTGACGTAAGAGGCCTCACTGTGGCCAAGGGACTACCTCCCAGGTACAAGATCAATCAAACAGACAACTGCGAGAGTTCACGTCAAGTGTCAGTGCTGTGTATCAGGAGATCTCGCAGACAGAGTAAGAATGTGTTCGCTGTTCTGAAGATCACGATAGACCATCAAGTATAGAGAGTATTTACTATCAAAGAGAAAAATGTTGCCACGATTTTAGAGTTATTTTATACTGGGTTTGGATTGATAGTCAGATCTATTGAACTCTTACAGATCCGTGACTATAAGTAATTATAACCGTTTCACTAATTCACACATTTTACAGTTCACTAGAGCACACACATGTCTTCTCATCCTGCTGTGTCTTCACCAGTCTTCTGGTAACGGCTTTCAATGGCGGATGTCCCTCTTCCTCTGCCCCAGCTACGAGCTTCTAACAGCGACGGCATACAAGGACTGACTCTCAGCAGTCCTCTAACTCACTCACTAACCAACTAATCTTAACTTCAAAACTCATTTCCTCCCTAAATATCCTGCTTATAACATCTCGGCACAAATAACACAGAAAACACAGTATTTTTGTTGCTGTTATCGAACCGTTGCCTAGTAACGGACGTCCAGTTTTTCGCGATCGTTGCCTAGAAACGTGTATACATGCCACATTATGTTCATTCAAGTGCAGGGAATATGGAACTTCGCGTCCGGTCTCACACTGTCCGCCCTTTACTTGGAAGGAGCCGAGGACTCGAACCTCACACCTCAAGCAAGTCACTTCTTGAAATAATAACGGGCGTGTTTCTGCTTGTTTCCAGATCACGATGCAACAGAGGACCGGCGGTGAGAGTGACTCCAGCGGGGGATGAGTTCGGGTGCGGCCGGCCTCCAGCTGTAGCAGCAGCAGCGGTCACCCCCAGACAAAGCAGACCGTGCCGTCCATGGTGGGCGACAGAGAGGCAGATGGGGTGGGAGTGCGTTGGGAGCTCGCAGATCTCTCCAACAGTACTGGCGCGGGAGATGACACCGGAGGCGGCAGTGGAGGCGGAGGAAGCACTACCAAAGAGGTGCGATACGCGCCTTTCCCGATGTGCTCCCCGCCTCTCCCGCCGCCTCCACCGCCGCTGCCGCTCAACTTGCAGCAGCAGCGCGCCCACTCTCGTTCCATGTCTTCACTGCCCCCGGAACCCTTCATGATCATGCGATCCAAGGCACTCAGCCGTAGGGTCTGTATAAATGTGGGGGGTGTCAAACATGAAGTGCTGTGGCGGACGCTTGAGAGACTCCCCCACACGCGTCTCGGAAGACTTCGCGACTGCAACACCCACGAAGCCATCAGCGAACTCTGCGACGATTATTCTCTCATTGACAATGAGTATTTCTTCGACCGCCATCCCAAGTCCTTCAGTTCCATTCTGAACTTCTACCGCACCGGAAAGTTGCACTTGGTGGACGAGATGTGTGTGCTTGCGTTCAGTGACGATTTGGAGTACTGGGGGGTCGACGAGCTCTACCTGGAGTCTTGCTGCCAGCACAAGTACCACCAGAGGAAGGAGCATGTTCACGAGGAGATGCGCAAGGAGGCCGAGTCCCTCAGACAGAGAGAGGAGGAAGAATTCGGGGACGGGAAGTGTGCTCAGTACCAGAAGTGGCTGTGGGACCTCCTGGAGAAGCCTACGACGTCCATCGCCGCCAGGGTAAGTGGGACAGCAAGGTCAGTAGCGGCGGTCAAGTCACACGCACCAGCTGAGTCAGGCAGGCTCAAGCGAAACACGGCATCTCCGTATTTTAATAAAAATACCGTGAAATTAAAAATATATTGCGGCAGTAATTGTCATCTCTGAACCCTTTATGAATTTAAAATGAACGAAACATTGACAAATCTTTAACCCTTTCCAAGAAGGGAATATGTATATATGTGTCATTTTCAGGTATCACTTTGCATGAATTTTGTAATTCTTTAAAATGTATTTTCACTAGTTATGGACACAAGCTTAGAAGTTTTCTGATAAGTTAGAATATTGCCTTCACTGATGTGACGGGACGCTTTCATTTCTGACAGAATGCACTAATATCCTGATGTAAAGCGATAGCCATAGTGGGATGACGAACGATGGAAGAAAGTAACATTTTTGGTGTAATTAACAAAAGAAATTGCCGGTGTCTTGCTCTTTACCACTTTGGGTACTTGGGCTCATCTTTAAAGGACCGCTGATATTATAATAATAATAATAATAATAATATGGGGGGAAAGAAAACAATTGATAAGTAAAAATTAAATATTTGATTTGCTTAGAGGGTGTGAAAACAGTTCTTTGTATCAAGCAGAGTTCTGTGGATCTCACGTGTTCCCCATTTCTATCTTGAACTCCCGTTACATTGCGCATGCGTCCAGACCTGCATGAAAAACGGTGAACTCGATTTTCTCAGCTTCTCTGGAATCTCCGCGTCTTGTTCGGACAGGCGTCGTTTGTGGAGATGAAACTTATGTTTGGGTGCTTCTGTTCACGACAAACTGTTCCATCGCTCATTGCCATGCAGATTGTCTAGAGTGATGCTCTTACTAGACTTCGTTCTTCTTGGTAGCTTCTCTCTTCTCCAGCGAGATTTGCAACTTGACGATATCAGGAGCCTTGAAGTTCATCACTTAAAAAAGTTAGTAAAGGTATTCCTGTAACAGGCCGTGAAGGCCTATGGGGTTGTGAGATGTTGAGGGTCCCACATTTTCTGGACAATCGGCTCATAGATGGCAGCAAGGTTTTCAGCCCTACGAGCCGGCCGCCCTTTATCCCCAAGAAAATTCCACGAATATTCCTGGTACTCATTTGTGTTAGAAGCTGAGTCGACCCCAAGGCCGTAGTGCGGCAGGAAGTATTAGGTCAGTTGAAAAAATCCAATGACCTCATCGGGACTTGAACCCGCAACTTTCCGGCTTGTAGCATAGTGCCTCAATCAACTACGCTACCGCAAATGTAAGAAATATTCGATAATAGCTCAAGAATTATCGAGAAAGACTGACACCACCCACAAAATGATTGTACAACTCCTTAATGTTAAGTCGATTACTTCCGACATATCCCATTCTCCTGATTAAACTGACCAGTCTCTCCTCTGGCATCAAATTTCGATCCAAGTGCATCAATTTTTTTTTGTCAGCTTATTTTAAGCGGGAGGTAACATCTGTACACAAATTTCTTCACGAAATTACTTGTCCCTCGTAGCATGTTTGCCTGGTGTAAATGTAGGTGTTGCAGATCTGTTGATCCTAAAGGTACCAGCCTCGGAACTTGGAAAGATTTGTGTGAAACACCACCACTTCGGCCAACAGTCACCACCATTTTGTTATAAACGAGTCACGGATGATTCGTCATAACCGAAGTGTATGGCTCGGTGTTGTCCCTCAGTGCAGCATGGAACCGCAAAGCTCGCATGTCCCCCAGGTGCTGGATTTTCTGCAAAAGTTTGTTTCACAGAACACTGCCCTGTGCAGGGTGCTATTGTAGCGATCCTGCTGTGGAGACCGTGACCAACTGCTGAACATCACAGTTCGAAAATGTAATGATTATACCACTGAAACATCATCTAAAACCGTAAGAATAATAGAAAAAACGATATCGGATATCAAACATTTTATTTTTCTGTGCTCCCTTGTTCGAGATATAATATGTGTCCTCAGTAAATATGTGTGCGCAGAAAAGCAGTCAAGACTTCATGTAAATTTATCGTTGAACATGGCAGATCTAAATGTAAATTGAAACATCTCTGTTTTCAAGTAAATTTCTCCCGTATGAAACGTCATAATTATCCGTCCAGTGGTTCTCGACCTGTCCCATACATAACGACCGACGGACGGACAGACCGTGAGAACTTAATGGACCCATCTTAGGATGAGAAAAGGGCCTAGAAAGTAGTTTCATCTGCACCTAAATCTTATATGTTGTAATGTTTTAATGCAGCGCTCCATCATTATACGACTTTGAAGCGTATATTAAACTATGTATATGTATTCAATTCAACTTTACAGTGTTAAACAGTCATATTATTCATTTAGTCTATCGTACAGTCTCAACTTCTCTCCAGTCTGGGTGTCACCTCGTGATAGTGAACACTTGCGCGTAAATGTTATGCTTGTTTACTGCAAAGAAGGGTTTATAGTTGTAATTATTCTGTTCAAAGGCAGAAACTTTATTGACGCTATTAAGGAGGTTGATCTAGAAGTAAACACAGGGAAAACCAAGTACATACTGCTGTCTCGTCACCAGAATGCCGGGGAAAAATAATAACATATAAGTAGCAACAGACGTTTTTAGAATGTGGCGCAGTGCAAATATTTGGGAGCAAGAGTAGAAAAATTAAAACCTGATTCAGGAGGAAATTAAGAGGAGAGTGAACTCGGGTAATGCTTGCTGCTATTCGGTCCAGAACCTTTTGTCGTCTCGTCTGTTGCCTGAAAACGTAAAAATTGGATTATAGAAAACTATAATTTGTCGTATGGTTTTTTATGGGTGTGAAACTTGGTCTCTTACATTAAGGGAGGATCGTAGATCAAGGGTGTCTCAGAACAGGGTGTTGAGAAAATTTGGACCGGAGAGGGGTGACGTGATAAGGAGTGTAGGAAACTGCACAATGAGGAGCTTCATAACTTGTACCAGTAAATAAGACTGTCACTACAGGGCATTCGCCCTCATTATGTATACGTAGTTGCAACTGCATTTTCAGTAGTCACCAAGTTGATGGGTTCTGACAACCTCTGGAACTTTAGCCTTAATTGCCAGCGGCGTTTTTAATTTATCAGAATTTTAGTGATTTTGTCCAGTTTGCTTGTTCGATGGCACCAACGCAGTGATACAACAGTAACATTTCCATACAGGGCTCAACTGAAGCTAACTTATATCGGCACGACTTAAAGGAAAATTAGTCCCACTGTAGTTCATGCTTGCAAACAGGCTTCTGACTTACCAAATCATGGTCCGTTTTGCGTTGTTGTTGTCAGGCTATGCAAGATACAGATTCGCCACCATACTGTTTCACACAGCGCGTCCTATTTTCAAGGTCTCTAAATTTAACGCTTGGGCAATTGGACTTACCTCGTTTCACTCAGTAAACAAATCCGGAATATTCTAAACATACTGTTCACTGGTTCTGAGAAATTAACCATTATTGGACTCACGGAAGGAAGGCCCAAGAATCCAACATATCAAGGAAGTAAACAATTGAAAGATTAACTCCGCAACAGGAAATCTCAGACTTCACGTAGGTTTCCTTCCTGTTCATTTACGGATTTTCTCTTTGGCGCTCATAATCACGTGGACAGATCGCTGTCTCCTTGTGATCCGTGTTTGTTTATACTCTTTGACAAATAATTTTGTGAGGCTCAACAAACGAGGGGTGAGAAAGGCGCGACGTGTAGCACGAATGGGAACGAAAGAAAATGCATACAGTGTTTTGGTACGAAAATTTGAAGTCGAAAGGCCACTCGAAAATCCTACGCCTAAATGAAAGTATAATATTAAAATGTATCTCAAGAAAGAAGAATGGGACGGTGCAGACTATACTCATGGGTATGGGTCGGAGGCACACAGTAATGAGCCTTCGGGTTCCACGAAGTGCTGACAAGATTCCTTTCTTAACACAAGAGGAGAGTGTGAGTGAATAAAACGGCGCATAGGTCCAAGTTTTGAATTAATTATTGTCATACGATTAAGTGACTATAGGCGCGTTTTGGATCAATAATCGGATTTATTGAACATTTACAGAACGTAACTACAAATAACTACGGCAGTCTCACTGAGTTACACACTCTGAAAGATCACTGTAACCACAGCACGTATGAAGTCTTCTCAGCTTGCTATGTTCTCACCAGTCGTTGTCTGATGACGGATCCCAACAGCGTCTGCTTTCGTGCTGTCTACTGTCTCACAACTAACTCATTGCTCCAGCTCTCCTGCTTATAACATCGAGGTACGGACTTCATGGAGTCCGTATGCCTTGACATATTTCATTGTTGCATGCGCAGCCATCGGCATGGACTGGGCAGAAAATATCATTCCTCTGTTTTGTTTACGGGCCGCTGCCTAGTAACGGTCGGTTATGACTCCACAATTCTTACTTTGAAACATACCACAGTGTCGCTAGATGCTGCCATCGCCTGTTTTCGAGTTTAATTTAACTTGCCCTCAATATTTATTTTATTTCGCTCGTGCACGTTCAGGTATTTCGTGTTTATTACCCGAATTTAAAATTCATTTTACGAGATAAGCCTGAATATTAATCACGCCTTCAAGCAAAATGCGCGACCCAGTTGGTGGATACGTCATGCAGGTTTTACGTGAGATGTTTATAGAAAAACTGCATCTATTCCTTAAATAAGGGTCACGTGACCAGCTCTGGGATACGTTAGGCTGTCCGAAGCGTTCATTTTCAGATTGGCAATACGTGGTGCCTAGGAGTGGGGGACCTCCTCTAGTGCTACCAAGCGGCAGGGGAATTAGGAGAGGGGAAGGCAGCTGCAGTATGACCACAGAAAGAGATCCAGAGGCTCACAGGCTCGACTTCTTCTCCCTTTTAACCTAACTAACTTTACGGAGCTGAGCCCTTCTTGAGAAGCCGTCAATTGTATCTTAGATATATTTTAATATTATCCTCCCACCAGCGTCTTGGTCATCCTAATAGTCCCTTTCCTTCTGGTTTTCCCACC